AATCTAGAATGTTCCTACTATTTTAAAAATAAGGAGTAAAGAAAATAGCTGCTGACTTTTGAGCAGAAATAAGTGAAAATGGGGGTTTTCAGTGGGAAAGTTTGCTTTCTCTATTCTCCTAAATTAATTTTGAAGTAAAATCTGTTTTTGTTGGGGGATGGGGGGAGGAGCATAAACCAAAGTTAATCTTTCTGGACAAGTCGAAAGGAAACTGAATGCCAGCCATTATGCTTCCTTCAGCCAGAAGGAAAGAAAACATTTAAAAGACAACCTATCTTAGAAAAAAATATAGTCCAGCATATAGAAGGAAATGCTTCACAATTTCATCATGCTATCAAGTCACTGAAGTAGACCATAAGTTCAGTAAAATGGATTATTATCAAAATGAGTTACTAAAGTGCAATCCCAAACCTAAGAGAGACAGTTGAAACCCAAACATCACATAGATACATGGTACGTGCCCTTGATTCAGGACCCTTGTCACTGTTTTTGTTGGTTAATAAGAATTAAAATGGAATAAAAAATGTGCATTTTTAAACAGTATATCTTAAAGTTAAAAACATTTAAAGGTCTTTTATTCATCTTATGATGTATGGGCAAGGTGTCTTATTTGAGTATGGTTTTGAGATTGTATTTCAATTTTTTAAGCTTATTTTGAAGGAGAGCGAGCAGGGGGAGGGGGAGAGACTATCCCAGGCAGGCTTCGTGTGTCAATGCAGAGCTCCAACCGGACTCAGTCTCACAAACTGTAAGGTTATAACCTGAGCTAAAATCAAGAGAATAGATGCTTATCCAACTGAGCCATCCAGGTACCCCAGAATTGAACTTTTTTTTTAATTAACTATACCCATAATATACCGTCACCAATTTCCGGTTCAGGTTTCTTTCAAGTAGAAGAGGAAGCTACAGACACATATAAAGCAATATGATCTTTTTCCCTTAACTTTTGGGAACTCAAACTTTTTTGTTATTGTTGTTTTGTTTGTTTTTTTAAATATTTTATTTATTTTTGAGAGAGAGATAGAGACAGCATGAGCCAGGGGAGGGTCAGAGAGAGAGGGAGACACAGAATCTGAAACAGGCTCCAGGCTCTGAGCTGGCTGTCAGCACAGAGCCCGATGCAGGGCTCAAACCCACACACCGTGAGATCCTGACCTGAGCTGAAGTCAGACGCTCAACCAACTGAGCCACCCAGGCGCCCCTCTCCCCAAATTTTTTTTTGTAATGTTTGTTTATTTTTGAGAGAGAAAACAGAGTGTGAGCCGGGGCAGGGTTGTGGACAGAGAGAGAGGGAGATACAGAATCCGAAGCAGGCTCCAACTTTTGAGCTGTCAACACAGCCTGATGTGTCACTCAAGCTCATGAACTGCAAGATCATGACCTGGTCCGAGGTCTGAATCTTAACTGAGCCTCCCAGGAGCCCCTCAACTTGATTTTTTTAGGTGACTTGCTTTTTTTGAGCCTTTCTAATCAGAGCAATTAGATTTTATAGAACCAACAACTTTATTTTTACACTCTTGTTTTCTTTGGTTTTCCCCATAGCAACTTTATTATTATTAATATCTCTATTTCATTGATGAGGAAACCAAGGTTTATAATTATTATATTTCATTTTGTCCAAACTGAAGTTTATTTTAATCCAGATAGTCCTCTTCGTGATAATAGATGTTCTGAGAATTTTAACATGTTGAAACATTAGGTGTAGAAAATCTCCAATGTAATTATAGCACAAAGTGCTAGATTTTTTTTTAACATAAAATAATACCACTATGTTTTTTATAGTTTTATAGCCAAGTTTAGCACTACAAATAATATATGATTGGGGCGCCTGGGTGGCTCATTCAGATGAGCATCTGACTCTGGCTCAGGTCATGACCTTACAGTCCATGAGGTCAAGCCCCGCGTCAGGCTCTGTGCTGACAGCTTAGAGCCTCGAGCTGCTTCAGGTTCTGTGTCTCTGTCCTTCCACTGCTCACACTCTGTCTCTCTCTCAAAAATAAATAAAAAACATTTTTAAAAAATTTAAAAAATATTATGCGATTATAAGTTTGTTTGACTTTGCATAAAACCTCTTAAAACAGATTTCAGAGCAATTAAGTGATCTGGTCAAAGGCCTTAATTATAATTTAGACAAAACCATGACTTTGCATAAACCAGGTAATCTCTTTAGGCTTCCATGTTCCTAGTTTTACCTGTAGGAGGTTCAATTGAAGGGATTCTCAAAGTCTTTCCAATCTCTTATGTTCTCTATTTATAAAACATAAAGCCTTGTGATTGATATATGTTACAAAATAAACTTTTCATGAAACATTTTGTAAAATGCAAACTTTATATTGGATCTCCCAGTTTTTAATGAACTGGGTGAAAAATCGAATATAATGAAGTTCACAAATGACTCCATTGTTAATAAAAATTATAGATTTATCATAAAACATTCAGGAAACATTTTAAAATTAAGCAGCAAAGTAGCAGATAAAAATTGTTCTAGTGATGTAATAACTCTTAAAATGAATTATTCTATACACTATCAATCTACTATACACTGAATTTAAATTTATTTTAAATTATTGGCTGAGCAGGTATCAGCAGCTGACTAAAGAGAATCAGAGAAGCCTGGGGTTTTCAAGTAACACCTTGTTTCTCTTTATAGGTTCACCTGGTAAAAGGGTTAATTCTGAACCATGACATCTGTTCTTTTAACCCCCTTCTGATCCATTTTAATCCATCATAAAATTATACATTGCTTTAATCACATCACCTCCCCTCTTAAGAATTTTTAGTGACTCCCTGATGCCTACAAAATTAGGGCTAGACTGCCTCCCCTGGTTTTCAAGGCTCTCTGAGGTCCAGCCCCAGCCTCTGTTTCCAACTTCATTTCCTATTATTCCCTTTTATATGCCTTTTACACCAAGCCATCTGATCCACTTGCTTTCCAGGGACACTCCTGCTTACCTTGCTCATGTGGCTCTGCTGTTTATATTAACCTTGACCTCATTATCCCAGCTTTTCACCCTCTCTGTCTTCCCAAATTCAACTCATATAGCACTTCTCTCATAAAACCTTCCTTGATTTCCCCAGCTGGAATTTCTCTCTAATGTGGAGATAATAAGCCTTTATCTGTGACCCTTATCACTCTTTTATTCTTGATAGAGGTTTTTAAGTATATGACTTACTTTACTAGGCTGGAAATTTCTTTAGACTTAGTCAAATGCATTCTTGTGTGCTGAAAATCTACCAGCTCCTGATGCGGCCTGCTACACAAGAAGTCTTCAGTCAATATGTGGCATATATGACTGGTATACACTGTTGGTTCTGGGCTCAACTCACCAAATATTTAGATACCTACTGTATGCAAATCACTTCAGTACAAAGAGTGAGACAAAGAAGTTGAAGACAGATGAATAAAAAAAGTGTCATGGCTTCTCAGTTTGTAAAAAACTTTGAAGTGAAAATAACAGACAAACCAGCAAGTAACTGCAGTAAAATGGTATCATTTTGTTGTCGGCTTCAACTGCAGAAGGCTGGGAGGGCAGAGGTCCAACATGTCATCAGTTCAATCCAGCCCACTGGTTGAGTGTGAAGAAAGTGACTCGTGTAGATGCTTTACACTTTAGGTCACAGCCCAGGAGTTAGTAAAGGTTTATACAACTTAAGAAATGAATACACTATAAAATTATTGACCTTGGCACAAGGACATAACAGAGCATACTGGTTATGAGCATGGGCTCAGCTAATTCATATCCCATCTCTGGCCCTGCCAGTGTGTGATCTCAGGTAAGTTATTTAACCTCTCTCTAAAGTGGGAAAATACTGATAATTTACCTTCACAGGGCTCTTAGTGGAAGCTAACTAAATATATGCCTGTGTGTGAATGGGTACATAGGGGTGTTTAATTCCACTTAGAATAATGTCTGGCACATAGTAGCCATTAAATAAGTGCTTGTTAATATTAAGGAATATATTTTTCTTCATTAATAAATGTTAGAATTGAAATTAGAAAAAAGTACTTGCTAAATGTTTAAATACAAAAAGTATTAATACCCTTTTAAACCGTCATTGAATAGTAAAGGCAGAGGGTAATGGGTAATTGAAATGATATTCAAGATTTAATGTAAAGTTTAGTGATAGTATTTGAGAAAAGAAATAATAGTATGAACCTGGTCATGTTTGCATTAAGTCCCACTGAAAATTACAAAAAAGGAAGAAACTTTATATAGAGAGAAAGAGCAGGGAAAGCTCAAGACTGGAATGAAGAAATTACATTAGGTTGCTTTTTCAGTGTTTACAATACTAAATGGGATTACATAGGTCAGATTTATAAATATACTCTAAAATATGAGTGGTATCAGGGACCAGTATCAAAACAGTGTATGTTTATATCCGCTCCTGTGGTCCTGGAATGTTTATTTTTTAATGTTTTATTTGAGAGACAAAGCATGAGCAGTGGAGGGGCAGAGAGAAAGAGAGAAGGAGACAGAATCAGAAGCAGGCTCCAGGCTCTAAGCTGTCAGCACAGAGCCTGATGCCCGTCTCAAACCCATGAACTGTGAGACCATGACCTGAATGAAGTCGGATGCTCAACCATCTGAGCCACCCAAGTGCCCCAGTTCTGGAATGTTTAAGGATTATATCCTCCTCTTTTTTTTTTTTTTTTTTTTAATAACAAAATATTTATTGACAGACAATGTGGCAGGCACTTTGCTTAGCCCTCTGAGATGTTGAGTAAGAGGTAGATCTGGAAGTAAAGTTGGATAGGGAACTGGAACTAAGAGCAGAGGTTTGGGTTGGAAATACAAATGCAAGAGCCATTAATGTTTAGGTAGTAGTTGAAGCACCCTCTGAATGAAATCATGTAAGTACTGAATTGAGTGTTATGACTGAAAACTATTAGGTTCCATGTTTTGGTCATTAGTTTTTGAACAAGGTCTAGAATGGTTTATGAAGCCCTTTTGTTTATACCTTTGTTTTCTGTTAATATATACATTTGCTTTCTTGTATAGGTGGATGATTGTGGCTTTTCTTTGAGCCATCCTAACCAATTCTTTTTTGAGAGCCAACGGATTCTAACTGGTAGTAAAGACATCAGGAAGGAATCCATCCAACCAGAAGTTCCTCAACCCAGACCAAGTGTCCAGAAAACCAAGGATGCATCCTCTGCCCTCGCCTCTCTAAACTCCTCTCTGGAAATGGATATGGAAGGTCTAGAGGATTACTTCAGTGAATGATTGATTCTTGAGCACTTAAGAAACCTTTTCCCTCGCTAGCTTTCATTTCTTTCCAGATTTTGCCTATTTCTTTGTCTACTCCCTCCAACCCACCACAGTTCATCCTCTGGAAAGCAGGCTTACGGGTAAAAACAAAGGCTTACATTATATTTCGCTTTGACAAAAGGGAAAAGGAAGAATTTCTCTTGAAATCTAACACTTTAGTGGTATGATCGGAGTCCTGTTTTAAGAGACAAAACAGCTTTCTAGACTGGTTATAGTTTCCTAGAGACAGTAGAACTAAAAACTATGATTTTCTTAATGCTTACCACTGTAATTTTTACCTAATCCTTTTCTGGACCATTTTTGTCAATAAATATAAAAATACGTATTAATGTGTCTGTGTAGTTGAAGGAGTCATGTTATGAGGAGGTATCCAAGATGGTGCCAAAGGAAGACCTGAATTCTCCTATGCAGGCCATGCCCAACCTACACCTACATGTACAGCAGTTCTTTCTGAAGACCTAAAGGCTGATGAACAGCTTCTGCACAACAAAGGGTGGAGAGGGGCTACACACAGAAGGGTAGGAGAGCTGGAGACACAGTGCTGATGGGAACGCCACTCCCAAAGCAGTAGGAAGGGACAGCACTGAAGGGCTTGGATGCAGACTTGCCCAACCTGGGGCACAATGGTAAGACAGTAACTTAAAGAGCAACTAGACTGTATACAAGTGAAGGCAATGCACTATTAAACCTAGAGCATCTGACAAGCAGAAGGACAACTGCTGGAAATTCTCTCCAGGATTGAAGACACTGGTGACCAACATTATTTATGTTCCCCCTCCACCTTGACACTATAGACTGGAGCAGCATCCTGGTATTTTAGCCAACCCACTGCCTCAGTGAGCCTTGGGCCTTAGGACACACCAGCTCCAGCTGTCTTATTACTAAAGCTGCCCTGGTGTGGTACACGCCAGGACATCCCTGGGCCATACCCATTATGTCAGCCATCTCGCCAGGGTGGCCCAGGTGCAAAGCACGGCAGGACACCCCTGGCCAGTGCTGGCTTCCACTCCAGCCATCTCACCACGGCAGCCCCGATGTGGAGAAAGCCCCAGCCCATGCCTGCCCTAGCTCTAGCCGCTCTGCTAGGCTGGCACCAATGCAGAGTACCCCAGGATCCAGTCCAGCTCCAGCTGTCCAGGCCAGTGCAGCCCTGGCACAAGTGCTTCAGGACCCCCAGCCTGCAAGCCGTCCTGCTCTAACTAGCCAACGAAAGCCACCAAACATGCAGTCCATACATGGCCACAACACAGGGCCAGTCCTTCAACACTCAGGTAGTTATTTCACTTAATTCACAGCAACAGAGAAAGAGGACTATGCTCCAAAAGAAAGAACACAACAAAATCAGGAAAAGAACTAAACAAAATGGAGATAAGCAGTTTACCAGGTAAAAGTACCAAAGTGAGTTCTGGCCTAAGATAGTGACATAGGAAGACCCTGAAGTCATCCCCTCCGTGGACATACCAAATCACCTATTTATAGAGCAGCTCCTCCTGAAGAGCTAAGGGCCACCTGGACAGCTTATGTACAATGAAAAATAGACCAGATAGAGAATGACAAGTGAGAGACATGGTAAAAGGGAACCAACTCACAGAAACACAAATAGCCAACCCCCCCCCAAAAAAAAAATAAGACAAACACCCAGAGAACTAAGTGAAACAGATAAACAATATTCCTGATAGAGTTTAAAGTAATGATCACAAATGTACTCACTAGACTGGAGAGAAGAGTGGAAGAACTAAGGGGCTGCTTGAATGGCTCAGCCAGTTAAGCGCCCTACTCAGCTTGGGTCATGATCTCACAGTTCATGTGTTCAAACCCTGCATTGGGCTCTCTGCTGTAAGCACAGAGCCAGCTTTGGATCCTCCATCTCCCTCTTTGCCTCTTCCCTGTTTGTGCACTCTCTCTCTTTCTCTCTCTCAAAAATAAATGAACATTAAAAAAAAAAAGTGAGAACTTCAACAAAGATATAGAAAAGATAAAAAAACCAGAGTTGAAGAATACAATAAATGAAGAATACACTAGAAGCAATCAACAGATTAGCAGATGCAGAAAGCCTTTGTGATCTGGAAGATAATGTACTGGAAAATGCTAAGCTGACAGTAAAAAGAAAAAAGAATTTTTTAAAAACTGGGGATAGATTAAGGAATCTCTTCAATACCAAGTGACTAGATATTCACAGTATAGGGGTCCCGTAAGGAGAAGAGATGAAGCAAAGTGAAAACTTACTTGAAAAAAAAAAAATTGCTGAAAACTTCCCTAACCTGGGGAAGGAAACAAACATCCATGTTTATGAAACAAAAAGTTCCAAACAAGATGAACCCCAGGAGGTCTACACCATAACACATAATTAAAATGTCAAAGTTTAAACATAAAGAGAACATTTTAAAAGCAACAAGAGAGAAGCAACTAGTTACCTACAAGGGAAGCCCCATAAGTGTATCAACTGATGTTTCATCAGAATCTTTGCAGGCCAGAGGGAAATGGCAAGATATATTAAATCAGCTAAGGGCGGGGGGGGGGGGAGGGGGAGATTACCTATAAGAAAGAATACTGTACTTGATAAGGTTATTATTCAGACTTAAAGGAGAGATAAAATGTTTCTCAGACAAAAATTAAGAAAGTTCACCACCACTAAACTGGCCTTATAGAAATGTTATGAGATGGCAGGCTAGAGGAAGCAGAGGAACAAAACAAATTAATGACCTGGGAGACAGACAGTAATGGAAAAAAAGCAAGCTGAGCAAATGAAAGAATAAAGAATTATGCAAGGTAAGAATAGCCTTAGGGAACTCAGTGACCTCATTAAGCATAATAATATTTGCATTAAAGGGAAGAAGATACAAAGAGAGAGATACAAGGGCAGAAAATTTATTTGAAGGCATAATAGCTGAAAACTTCCCAAATCTGTTGAAACAAACAGATATCTACATCCAGGAGGCAGAGATTCTCCCCTCAAAATCAACCCAAGGAAGTCCATGCCAAGGCACATAGTAATTAAAATAACAAAAAGTAGTGATAAAAAAATTTTAAATCAGCTAGACAATAGAAGACAGTTACATACAAGGGAATCCCCATAAAGCTATCAGCAGATTTTCAGCAGAAACTGCAGGCCAGAAGGGAGTGGCATGTTATATTCAAAGTGCTGAAAAGGAAAAACCTGCAGCCAAGAATACTGTATCCAACAAGGCTATCATTTAGAATAGAAGGAGAGATAGAGCTTCTCAGTTAAACAAAAATAAAAGGAGTTCATGACCACTAAACCAGTCCTACAGTATTAAGGGGTCTCTTTGATTAGAAAAGCCATATGTAAGAGTATAAAAAGTTGGAAGCACAAAAGCTGTAAAAATAAGTATATCTGTAAAAATCAGTCAACGGATTCACAAAAGGATGTAAAATATGAAGCCATATGCCGAAAGTGTGGGGAAGAGTAAAGAATAGGTTCGAACTTAAGCAATCATCATCTTAATATAGACTGCTATATGCAGAAGATGCAAATTAAAAACCAGCAATAGATCTGGAACGAATAAAGAAAAAGGAATTCAAGTATATCACTAAAGAAAGCCAACAAACCATGAAAGAGAATAAAAGGATTTAAAAAACTAAAAACAACCACTAAACAAGTAAAAAAAATGACAATACATACCTATCAATAATTACTTTGAATGTAAATAGACTAAATGCTCCTATCAAAACACAGAGGGTGATAGATAGATTAAAAAAAAAAAAAAAGAAAAAAAACAAGACCCATCTAAATGCTGCCTACAAGAGTCTCATTTCAGACTGAAAGGCACTTGCAAATTGAAAGTGAAGGGATGGAGAAATATTTATTATGCAAATGAATGTCAAAAGAAACCCAGAGTAGCAATGCTGATATCAGACAAAGTTGACTTTAAAACAAAGACTAACAAAAGAAAATGAAGGACATTATATAATCATTCAGGGGACAATCCAACAAGAAGATATAACAACTGTAAATATTTATGCACCCAACATGGGAATACCCATATGTAAGAGCTAATAAGAAACATAAACAAACTAACTGATAGTAATACAATAAAAGTAGAGGACTTTAACACCCCATACATCAATGAACAGATCATCCAAAATCAATAAGGAAACAGTGGCTTGGAATGACAGACTAGACAAGATAGACTTAACATATATTGGAAACATTCCTTCCTATCACAGCAAATGCACATTCTTTTCAAGTGCAGATGAAACATTATCCAGAATAGACCAACTATTAGCCCATAAAACAAGTCTCAACAAATTCAAAAACATCAAAGCCATACCATACAGCTTTTCTGACCACAATGCTATGAAATTGGAAATCAGCCACAAGAAAAATCGGAAAAGACCAAATACATGGAAGGTAAATAGCATTACTAAATAATGAATGAGTCATCCAAGAAATCAAAGAATAAATAAAAACTTAATTAGAAACAAATGACAGTGAAAACATAATGATCCAAATTTGGGGGATGCAGAAAGAGTGGTTCTAAAAGGGAAGTTGATAGCAATACAAGCCTACCTAAAGTAGAAAAATCTCAAATAAACAATCTAACTTTACACTGAAAGTAGCTAGAAAAACAAAAACTGACAAAATCCAAAACCAGCAGAAGGACAGAAGTAATATAAATTAGAGATGAAATAAATAATCATAAAATCTAAACTAAAACAAAAATAATAGACTACATCAATGAAACCAAACAAAATTGATAAGCCTCTAGCCAGACTCATAAAAGAGAGAGATAGGACTCAAGTAAATGAAATTATAATGAAATAGAAGAAGTAACATCCAAACACCGCAAATTACACACAATTTTAACAGAATATTGTAAAAATCCTATATGCCAACCAATTGGACAACCTAAAGAAATGGATAAATTCCTAGAAACATATAACGTACCAAAACTAAAGCAGAAAGAAATAGAAAATATGAACAGACTGATTACCAGCAATGAAACTGAATCAGTAAAAAACAAAACAAAACAACTCTGGTCTGGCCAACATGGCAGAGAAGTAGGGAGATCTGAAGTTCCCTCATCTCTCAATCACAGCAGTGTTGAGGCCCAAGGACACTGAACTCCAAGATTGTGAGCGGCAAAGTGACAGAGACGCCTCCAGGGACCCACTGGGACAACCTGATGGGCCATAGATGCATTATTGTGAATTGGGAGAGATAAAATGTGGCAGAGGAACAGAGGGGAGAGATCCCCTTCTGCAGAGAGACAAAGGGAAGAGAAAGAGAGGCTGGGAAAGCGTAGGACTGTATCTAGACAAGAGAAAAACCACAGACCAGGACAGAGAAAGATCCAATTT